GGCGAATTCATTCAATTTTTTATACATGGAGTTTGACAGCGTCGGTTTTGAGAATTTTTTACACCCTCCACCACCATCAGTGGTGATAGAGGGTATATATAAGTTTGTCGTTCCGTGTGTAACACCAAGAAATATTCATCTAAGACCCAACAAAGTATATATATTCTGGGTCCTTATGAAATTCTGAGTCGATTTAGCTATGTCCGTCTGTCTGTGTAAAACACGCTCACGTTAAAACTAAGCAAAGGAAATCAACCAAATTTACCCAAAATATTTATTATTATTTTAAGCAGTTTGGTATTGAAAATCAGCAAAATCGGTTCACAACGTAAAAAGTTATGAGTAAAATTTTTTTTTATAATTCTTGTGAAGTTTTCTCAGAAACTACCAATGATATTTCGATGAATTTTTTCAGGGCAGTGATCAATTATGTCCAAAATCTTTACAATCGATCCAATATTTCCCATAGCCCCCATACAAAAGTATATATTCCCGGAAATTAGTTTATCGTTAATAACTCCCTCAAATATATCGGTATCAACACAAAATTTTGTACATGCATATATAATATAATCTGAAATCATACTATCAACGTAGATCTCAGTCGGTCCACAATTGGTCATAGCTCCCATATAAGGTCCACTTCCGAAAATCACCTAATCGCACATATTTCAATGATGAATAATGCTATTGTGATCAAATTCGAATTGAATATGTTTTGTGTACATACAAATCATTCTACTTAATTTTTTACGGATCGGTCCACTCTTGGTCATAGCTCCCATATAAGACCCACTTCCGAAAATCATTTAAATGCTCATATTTCATTGTCAAATAAAGCTATCTTGATAAAATTCGACACAAATCTAAATATGAATCACTGTACGAAATTTTTTCCGGATAGGCCCATAATTGGTCATAGTTCCCATATAAAGTCCACTTCCGAAAATCACTTAAACGAATATATTTCATTGAATTCTCAAGCTATAAGGATACAATTCGACACAAACATGTTTTGTATACATACAATCAATTTTTTTACGGATCGGTTCATTATTGGTCATAGCTCCCATATAAGGCCGACTTCCGAAAATCATTTAAAAGATCATATTTCATTGTCTAATAAAGCCATCTTGATAAAATTCGATATATGTTTAGTGTAAATATGAATCACTCTACGAAATTTTTTCCGGATAGGCCCATAATTAGTCATAGCTCCCATATAAAGTCCACTTCCGAAAATCACTTGAACGCATATATTTCATTGAATTCTAAAGCTATTGTGATAAAATTCGACAAAAATATGTTATGTGTACATTCAAATCATTCCACCAAATTTGTATTTCATTGCCAAATAAAGTTATCTTGATAAAATTCGACACAAATATATTTTGTCTTTATATGAATCACTCTACGAAATTTTTTCCGGATAGGCTCCCATCGGGATAAAGTACGACTTGATATGTTTTGTGAGTATATACGTAAATCATTCCACCAAATTTTTCCGGATTGGTCCATATATGCTAATAGCTCCTATATAAGGTCCACTTCAAAAAATCACTTAAACGCACATATTTCATTATCAAATAAAGATATCTTGATAAAATTCGACACAAATATGTTTTGTGTAAGGTCATACATAGCTCCTTCCGAAAATCACCTAAACGCACATATTTCATTAATTAAAAAATCTAATGCAGTAAAATTCGAATTGAATTTTTTTGGCATATAAATCATTATACGAAATTTTTTCCTTATCGGTCGATAATTCGTCACAAATCCCATATAAGGACCATTTCCGAAAATTACTCAAATACACATTGACAATCAAAGTTATCGCGATAAAATTGGACATAAATGTGTATTTTGTATATATAAATCATTGTACGGAATTTTTTTCCGGATCGGTCCATAGGTTGTCATTGCTCCCAATACCTACTTCTGAAATTCACTTAATACCACTTAATTCGTAATTAAATGATTATATCCTGATAAAATTCAAAATAATTATGTTCTGTGTACAGATAAATAATTCTATTAAAATGTTTTCGAAATGGCCTATTAATATAAATTTTTCTGGACCTAATTAAAATTAGTTTGACATATGCATAAATGTTAGTACCCTCAATACGGAAACAAAAATTTTGCCAAGTTATCTAAAGATTAGATAGTTAAATGGGTTTTAATAAAAAATAGCTTCCTGGTGGAGAGTATTTAAGATTCGGCATAGCCGAATATAGCACTCTAACTTGTTTTATATGGAGTTTGACAGCGTCGGACTAAATTTCCATACACTACACAAAAAAACAATCAGCTGTTGAAATGACTTCACCTTTGTAGTTTCGCCATGCATCATGATTGAGTGTTACCGCTCAAAGTTAGCAACAAAACAATCATTATCTGACTTGGCATCACTACACAGAAAAAATTTGTGAAATCTTGAAATTATTTACCATTTCTTGAAAGAAAGTTTGTTTATTAGTTAATTTTTTGTAATTTTAAATTTATTTTAAAATAATTTTTAATTATTTGACATCCACACATTCATATTTGTATTTTCTTACTTTTGAATTGGTAGCACTTTTATCGAAATTAAAATTAACTTGTATTAAAATTAACTTGCCTTTGAACGTTAGCAACAAAACACAGCTAATATTTTTTCTTGAAGGGGAATTTCATTGCAGACTATATAATTATAAATACATGAATATGTTTTGATGGTGGGTATTTAAGATTCGGTTCAGTCAAATATAAACTCTTATTTTTTAATGAGATCTAGAAGGTTTTGCATATTAATCTGTTTAAAAATCTATGTGATACCGGTGAAAGTGAATTACCGTATTCTGTATGTATCATATTACACCAAATTTTAAATAAATACTGCGAATATACATATTTCAAAAACTAATATGCTGACAAAATTTCAGATGTTTTCCAAAATAGGTAATAGTAGTACTTAATAGTGCCGACAAGTTTGTTTGAAGGAAAAAGGTATTGTCCGACAGGCCTTTTCCATTTAGAATTGTTCTTTGGAATGTAAAACTATTTCATGCAAAAATTAGACAGATAGGATAACGTTAACAGGTGCCGCAATGCCTCTGAAGTTTTGAGGTTCATTTACATGGGGGAAATCGATTTCAGTTTTTTGCTATTTAATAATTCATTTTAAATTCTATTGTAAACTATTCGTAATGTACACAGAATAATCATTTCAGAAAGATATAAAATACAAAAAGAAATTAAATAATATTGGGAATTTCATAGGCCATTAAAAATTTTTACAGCACTTGAATGCGAAATGTGACTGAAAAAATCCAATTTTTTTTGGTATATAAATTATCTAACAAAACAGTTTTGTTGCTTAAAATATATCTATAATTACTTCTAAGCTGTAACCAAAAAAATCGAATTTTTTAACGACTGTTTCTAATTTCAGTTTTTTAAACTTTGTTAAACACATTAAAATTTTTGGAAATTCTCATTGTCTCATTCTCATAGTAAAACAGTAATTGTTTATAATAATATAAAATTTTTATACATACGAGCAAAAAGATTGATTAATTACACAAAAGTATATATATTATGTGTCCTTATTCGATTCTACAACGTCTTAGTCTGTCTGTTTGTTGAAATCAGGAAAGAGCTAGAGGCCCGAATTTTTTCACAAATATTTCAGGAATGCTAAAACAATATGAGACCATTAATAAATTTAATTACACGGGCCAACAATGATAAAACTCTTTAAATAAATTTCACAAATCCCAGTGTTATTTCGCGTGTTGATTCAGAATATGGAAATAAATAAGTCGTATCACCCACCAATTTTCCACATTTTCATTTTTTAGCCCTTCTGACTATATACTTGTGTCCCAAATATAAAATTCTGTAATATTAAATATTTATAACTAAATATATGTCATATTAATGAAATGCATTCTGGAAAAATTTAGCGCGATAGGACCACGTTAACTGGTGGCATCGCGGCTCTAAAGGGGAAAGCGATTTTTCCAAAAATGTTGGCACTTAAATAAGCCTTTTGGATCTTAACAGCAAATAATTGGAATATGTATGCAGTTATCGTTCCAATAGGATATAAAACTAAAAAATCGGTCAAAAATTTTAAAAGTTATTTAAGTTCTTCCGATCATGTACTGTCCCAAAACACTTCAGACGGTAATCTCAAAACTCCTGTTTCAAACTTTTAATAATTTTGTTAAGCAAATTGAAAAAATTTAAGAAAATCTCCATGTGACTTATGGACACTAAAGAAGGGATAAAATAGTAAAGAATTTAGGGCAATATCTCCCACAGATTAGTGGTACATAGGATTTAAATTTTGAGAAACAGAATGAAATTCATACTAGTTTTGAATTGGCAAAAAGCAACTTCTTCAAACCATTTTTTAAATTAATTTTTAACATAATAATTCATATCATATCGATATTATTTTATAGCAGGAACGCATCTGGGTGTCATAGAAGCCTTCTGGGGCATTGCTTGATCCTTTGAAATGTTGTTTCATGGGTATTTTACGCAATGAAATATGTTGTGCCTTTAAATTTCTCTATATCATTATGTGATCTGCAATGACCGAAAATTATTCAATTTAGGTTCTGATCAGGGGTTTGAATTGTCCGAAAAACGTGAACATTTGATGCCTCCTAGTTCCTCTACGATATATAATATATTCCAATTATTTGCTGTTAAAATTAATTTTTTTGCAAAAAGCATTTTTTTAGAGCCAAGGCGCCATTAGTTAACGTAGAATATTTGAGACACAATTATACAGTCACGGGGACTAAATATTTCAAAATGCGGAAATTGGTGTGTGACACGAGTTTTTTATTATCATTTTCGGGATAAGCACACCAAATTAGTGAAAATTATGTAAAAAGCTTTTTCATCGTTGACGTGTGTTATTATTCAATAAATATTTTATTAATCTAAGTATGTACTACAGATTCATACATTAATACTTTTATTTATTTTCTTTTAAATAGAATTTCAACTGCAAATAGACAGACATCGAATAAGATAGATTCCCAGTTAATTAATTTGCCGACCCCACCTACCGAAATTCCTAGCATAAGCATTATACCACCTGACGATAATGAAAAACCTATGAAGGAAGATCGGAAACTTAAGCATTTCACAATGAGACCTCCAAGAAATAAAGTTCCTCTTAATGATGGCGCCGTATTACGCAATGCTCACTCTACCGGCCAATTGAATATGTCAACAACTTCAATATGCAGCGAAACAAAGAAGAAGAAGAAGTGGTCCAGTAAAATTTTGAAAAAGGTTTTCAGTCGTAGCAGCTCTAAACTGCAGGAAGCTTAAAAGCATTGTTTATATACATACATAAATATATTTTATTTTACTATTATCTATGAATTTTACTACATCTTTTGTTTGTGTTTTAAATCTTATGTGTTAAGTAGTTATTTGTTTTATTTTGTTGGTCACATTTTCACAAGTTTATTTTCTTATTACTATGTTAATGATTTTATAAATTTCCTTAATAATATTTGTTTATCCAATTAAATTAAAAAATGTGTTTTTTCAGACTAGGCAATTTTTGCACTCATGAATACTATTTTATTTATTTCTCTCGTTATACAACTTACTTTCACGAGTTTTATTTTTAAACTCGCGAGAACTATTTTTATTTGAACTCTTAATTTTTTATATACACTTCATGAGCGATATCTATGCATTTTGTTTTTTTGATTTCTCTCACAAAATGCCTTTTTGATTAATTTTAGAGTTTATAAACCGGTTACCCGAAAAACCGGTTTTTATTCCATATTTCGCAAACCGTTTTTTTTTTCAAACACTGATTTTTGGTTAACCGGGTTTCGAGTATCGGTTAACCGTTTTTTATTTAACCGGTCATTAATTTTAAAACCGGTTTTTATTCCATTTTTTCGCAAACCGGTTTTTTGGAAACACTGATTTTCGGTTAACCGGGTTAACCAGTTTTTGAGTCTCGGTTAACCGGTTTCAAAAAATTATAATTTTTAGTACAAAATTGTATGTTTTCTTATGATATACTAGCTATACCTAGTGTGCTTCGCTACCCTCATCGTAATGAGATAAAATAAATATTGTAAATTTTCAGTCAGTCCAATATACATATATGTATATCTGCAATATCAAAATAAATCAATAATGATTGATTATAGTCTCAATCAGTTGGAGAACGAAAATGTAAGAGACAAGTCCCTTTTCAGATTTTAGTTGAATAAGGATGGTGCATGTTAAATTTTCAACCAGAAGTTCCTTTCATACAGATTTTTATACACTCAGGAAGCTGCGTGTCCAATATTATGTTATTAGGTTCAATATTATAGAATATTCAAAAAGCATTATTAAAAAAACCAGAAAGTCTCTTTTTATATATTTTCGTTCAACCAGAACACTACGTGTTTCATTTTATGTTTATACATACATATATTCATTATTTTAAATCTCAAAAAGTATCAGTTGAGGGACAAACATACCAAAAGATATCTTTTATTTAATTTCATGTTTCTATGTTCAATATTATCGAAAATTCAAAAAGTACCAGAAAATACTCCATTTTAGATTTTCATTCACATAAGTCCCTGAATGCCTTGTTGTGAGTTTCTATGTTTAATATAATTGAAAACTCAAAAAGTACCAGTTGATGAACAAAAAAGTACCAAAGGGTTCTCTTTTATAGGTTCTTATTTACTCCGGGAACTAAATGCCTAATTTTATGTCTCTAGGTTCAATATTATAGAAAATTCAAAAATTACCTTTTAAAGAACAAAAAGTACCAAAAACTCCCCTTTTATATATTTTCATTAACTCCAGGCTCTACATGCTTAATATGATGTTTCTAGGATCATATTATAAAAAAAACAAAAGTACCAGTTAAAAAACGAAAAAGTACCAAAAAATAGTCCTTTGTACCGGAGTTCCAAGTAACACCCCATTTGTATATTTGGTGTTACTAAATCTATCAATTTCTCCAATTTTATTAAAATTGAGTCAGTGAGTTTGAATAAAATCTAATTTCCCGTTTTTTCCCCTTTTGGTGCTTTTTTCTCCCTATTGAAGTACATAATAAACATTTTATTACTAAAAGTTGCAATATCGTAGTGGGAGCCCATCATTAAGTATTTATTCACATGTTTATACAAATCAGTACATAGGAAACAATGCAAAAAGTACCAAAAATAGGTACAATTTTCAACCCTTAAACGTCCAAATTTCCAAAAAGTACTAATGTCGTATTTTTATTTTTTCGTTAAGTTATGAAGGAGTCAAAAATATTTTTTGTATGTTCATTGGTTTAAAAGATAAATGGGATGCAAAAAAAGTACCAAAATACAGTTTTTACCCGTTCATTCCCTAAAGGTGCCGAATTTGAAAAAAGTACCAGACACCTATCCGCTTAATTTTTAAATGAACGACAATAAGCTTTAAACTGTTTTTGTATCTTTTCTAGTTTAGGAGATATGAGGTTACCGAATTTACCCGTTTTTACCCCTTTTCCAAATATTTCCAAAATCCCGTCTCAGTGGATCTTTTTTGTGGGAGACCAATCTCCTGTCTAAATTTCAGCGCTTTAGATTCAACCGTTTAGGCTGTGCGTTGATGAATCATTCAGTCAGTGACTCAGTAACGTTAGAATTTTATATATATAAAGATTAATGTACATATCTATTTTGAAAATTTCGAAACATTTCGGCTAACCGGTTTTTATATTCGGTTAACCGACAAACCGGTTTTCTAAAAATGATTAATTTTCGGTTAACAGAAGAACCGGTTTTTCCAAAACCGGTTTTTTATAAACACTAATTAATTAACTTTATGTACAATATAAAAGTCCCGATAAATTCATTAGTACTCCTTTCATGAGAGAACTGTATTTTCCGCTCTTTAAATTTAAATATTTCTCGTGATATTTATTATTAAAACTCAGGCAAATAGAACTTTCAAATTGTACAAAACATCATTAACAATTGTACTTTTTTATTCCATTTGTACCAAATCATTTTTTTTAATTTTATATCAATATGAATCACTTTTAAAATTAACAGTTAATTTGTACTAGCCCATAGGTTAGTCATAAGAATAGACAATAAACAAGTTCATTTGGTCACCAGATTGGTCCATAGACAGTCTATAGACTCTTTATGGACTACAGAATATAGTAATCTATAAACTAGACAATAGACTACTCTATAGACTAGACAATATACTAGTATATAGATTAAAATATTATATATTAGTCGAAAGCAAATACATAGAGTTGTCTATATACTATATAATAGAATAGTCTATAGACTAGACTCTAAAGATTAGATAAAAGGATAGTCGTTAAATAACGCAAAGGCTACTTCATAGACTAGTCCCTAGACTAAGTTATGGACCAGACTATAGGAAATTCATTAGACTAGGCCAAAGTCTCGTGAAATGTACTTTAAAAGTCTATTCAAAAAAGCACTTAAAACACTTCCTACCTTTGAACTTTGTGTCAGAATTACAATTTTAGATTATTATTTCAATAAGGAAATGAATTTCAAATTGAACAAAATGGGTCATTGGTGTACCATTGTACTTTTGAGGAATTGTACCAAAAAAAGTACAATTGTACCAATTTTGCCAACCCTGATTCACAATAAAGTAAATAATTTATTTCGCTCGAATTAATATCTATCTCGAGAGAAAGAAATGCCTTCGAGAGGCAGGTTTTTTTCGGAAAAATCTTAAATTTTTTCATAAATTTATTTAATGTAATTAACTGAAATTAATAACATAATCCTCATTAAATTAAAATTTTTCTTTTTTCGAAATTCAATCTAGATTAAATTTTATTTGATTTTTTCGAAACCAACTTTCATCCAAAACTTTACTTTATAATGTAAACAACCACAAGTAATATGATCTGTCAAAATTTTGTGTAGAAGAGAACTGATGGGATCGTCTAAACGCAATATGTAATGAAACCATCACACATTGAGAGAAAATACGGATGGAAAATTTCATTTTTTGAAATGATTAAAAAAACAAGCAAGTCGCATTAGATCAGGGATGTATTTTTATGTAAACAAAAAAAGTGAAACAGCTGTTCCATCTTACTTTGTTATTGTTTTATACCAATCGTGTAAACACAAAAAATATAAATCATACGACTTTTATTCTCTTTTTTGTCATACGGATGGAATTTCATTTTACTTTTTCATTAGACTTGTCGTACGTAAAGTGTGACCGTGTGAAGGGCCCTTTACAAAGAAAGCAAGGCAGTAAATTACATATTGATTTTTGCGATGAATTTGTGTATTTCAGTTAACTGAAATATTTATTATAACCCAATGATAAAGTACATACATACATACATATGTATTATATCGATACCCTATATTCAAAAAGTGCTAAATCAAAGATAATAACTCTGTTCAATAACTGAAAGTTGTTACTAGTTAGTACAAATTAGTAACAATTGTTACTGGAAAAGCGTTCATTAACTCAAAAAACTTGCAAGTAGAGAAGAAAACAAGAGCGTAAACGTTTTCTCTCATTGCAAACTTTTACAAGTTCTATTTTGTACTAGTAATAATTATCTTATACAAAATTGAACAGCCGTATTTTGTTTACCTTATTGTCAGCCAACGATTTTGTGTTTGTTATACCCTACACCACTATAGTGGGGAGGGTATTATACGTTTGTGCTGATGTTTGTAACACACAAAAATATTGGTCCTACACCCACCTTAAAGTATACGAATCGATTCAGAATCACTTTTTGAGTCGATTAAGACATGTCCTTTTCCGAAATTTAATGAGGATCGGCCCATGTTTGACCTATACTCCTATATAAAGCCTCATTTAGAAAATTTGTTTTTTATCTATAAATTGCTTAAATACTTTGGAATTAAGGTAAAATTCAACATAACAGTTTCTTTATGAATAATAAAAATTGTTAAAATATACTCACGGTGAAGGGTATTATATGGTCGGCCATGCCCGACTATAATTTCCTACTTGTTTTTTTTTTTTTTTTGTAATAAAAATGTTTGCGAAGTGAATTATTTCGATATTACGTAAAAATATAGATGCTTTTAACTATTTTGGAAGTTTTAATTCTAAGTTTAAAAATCACATATTTGTTTTCTTGAAAGTTTTTACTAGTTCATTTATTTTTTACTATTTTTGAGAGTAATTTTGTAAATTTAAATTTTACTCTCTCGTTGCAAGTATTTACTGGGGAAGTAAATGAACCTAATGTTTTTTCCATAATACGTTTTTAACAACCTTACTAATTCCGACTTATAAATTTTTTTTAACATTTTACCCATTTTAGCGATTTTTTTAAGATATCACTTTTTGATCGACAAGAAACCAAATGTTTGT